TTTTTAACTTTGTTTTGGTCAATTTGATCGTCCACACCGATAGACAGTATTCAGAAAGAGACAGAGAGAGAGAGAGGGAAGGAGTAGATCTTGCGAGAACTTCCGGACAAAAGAAAATGGCGACCCGCGTAGTTCGGCTCGATTCGAACAGTGAAATAGCTATAGCATCTTTGAAGACGATCAAATTAGCTTACTTTTGTGCTATATATATATATAACGTAATCTTTTCTTTGCCTTTCTCCATTTGATCATCCACATCGATAGAAAGTATTCCGAAATTAGGAAAAACAGGTCTTGTTTCAAACCGGGTGAGAATAGCCTACGGTGGCAAGTCTCACCCGGGGTGAGAGGTCGATCGTATTTCTATTCTCACCCCGCGTGAGAATAGCCACTTCCGTTAAAAAAAGGCTCAGCCAGTGGGATCAAGCAAGGATCACTAGTCCGGTTGGCAAGCAGTGGTTGAAACATCGCACCTCTCAAACCTCAGCCTGCTATCCTCTCTGATAAATGACATGCAGTCTTACAATATAGATTCTATTCCAATTCCACCAGTGCTTTTTTAACCTATGAAAAACAGTTAACGTTTGAACATTTTCCTTTGCTTCCTCCTTTAGCCCCACCCATCGGTGTTTTAACAAGCATCTAGTTAACCAATGCCATCCCTCATTGCCATAAAATTTAGGAAAATGTAATGTAACAACAGTTCGAGGAACTCTTTTCTTGGCCGGCCGTACGATCCCGATCAGGGCGGCACTTGCGTCTAAACGTAGAACAACGCACTTGCCTGATTGTCGGCTAATTTTAGATGTGATGTCATCACATCCTATGATCCTGGGATACCCACAGACTTTAGAAGGCAGTGGAGATTTTATCAAAAACAAGGAAGATCCTGCATAGTTTTTGGAGATACCAAAGATCTTGTAGATCTAGTAGAGAATCTTTGGAGATACAGCATGGAACGACATGTTGGGTCAGTGGCTTGACGTATTATCCATCGATGTGTTTCACTTGGTAAAATTTCGCAGTTCCGGCTAACTGCAGCCTGTCAGCCATGCTCTGATTTGTAACAAAGTTTCCAGAATGTTAATAACATTTTGGAATTCTGGTAGTGACGCTTGAAACACAGTAAACGCAAAGAATATTTAATAAAGCGGGCGAAAATTGCTATAAAGAAGCCGGAAGATTACTCCTCCCCCAGGCGCAATATGCACAGAAGAGATAGGCAGCAGCATCATCTGAGCACCGCATCATATCACATTAATCGGTATTCTTGGAAAAACATTGCTCCAAAGCGTCGTGCCTTCAAATATTCTTTACACGATCTTTGGTGCCCTGCGGTTGGCTATAGGGGTATCCCGGTCTGA